TGACCTCCCTTTCCATGGAGGCTCCTGAATAGCCCGAGCTGCTACAATGATGTCATTCTTCCTCAGGGTAGTTGTTGCTGCTGTCATCATGTTTCCCAGCACCACCCATATTGGTGACATTTCCTCATTCTACTCTGATCCTTATCACATAGTTTGGGGGGCTTGAATTGGGGAAAGGAGGTTGGGAATGAGTAGAGATAAACTCTGCTGTTATGAGGCACAAAACAAAGCAGGCTTACACTCCCATCTCATCTTTCATTTATCTGGCTCCTCATTTCAGTTCCTCACCCTCCCCATACCCTCCATCCAGGAAAAAAATTGTGAATGGGACATCGCTATGGAACTCAAAACATCCGTACAAACTCTCTCATCTGCAGGCAATGTCCCTGGAACAAACACGTGTCTGGTTCTAATGCTATTCAAGGTCTGTTCCTTTCCCATCTAGCACACAGACTGGGAGGGAAGCCAGCACAGGGTCCTAGGTGTGGAGCCAGAGACAGCCCAGCCACAGTCTCATTAAGTCAGTGCGTTTCCTCTGAAGCTTTGAGGGTGCCTTCAGTCAAGCGAAATCCAGGCCATCTTGCCCTGCCAACCAGACATGTCCAGATGGAAAGCTGTTTAGGGACTTGCTCTGGGACCATCAGTACTCATTTATGAAATGATTCCAAAGAAAATGAATGATCTTAAAAAATTCCAGAATATAATGTAGCCTCCAAGAAAGGGTAAAGCCTGCAGTCACCTCTTCAGGAATTCAGTAGGGTCCTTGATCAAGTAATGGAGAAAAACGTTTCCAGAAAGGAAAACAAAATTTGTAGCTGTACTCATAGAAACAGGTTTGGTTGCATATCATAAAAATGAATGAACAATTTGGTGAGACTTTCAAGTGATGAAAATAATTCCAGAGACAGTCAGGCTCTCCACTTGGGCCCTAGAGTCATAGATCCTTAGAGATAAGAAGTGGGAACGAAGAGGCAAGCACCATAGTTTAGAAGGCCATGCATTTAGTCTCTACGTGCCAGAGCTTCTGCATGCTTTCTCACTTTTTTCCTGCTTAGATAACCGATTTCAGTGATCTACCTAAAATTGTTGTATTTCTCCAACAATTCATTATGCCGGAGTTGTCTTCCTAAAATACAATGTCAATCATTTTACTCCCCTTCTCAAAAATCTGCAATGGCCCCTTTTATCCATAGGAAAAAAAAGGTCCGAACTCTTTAATGTACTTTGGTCATAAACATCCTTTACCAGGTTTACAAAAATAATGGGTAACATATAATGAGAAGCCACCAGCACAAGGATCAAGAGACTGGAGTCACAGCTCTGCCACTAACTAGCTATGAGCTCTTGGGCAGAGTTATATGGCCTCTAAGCTTCAGTGTCCTTTGTAAAATGGGGATAGGAATAGTAGCTAACTCATTGGGCTCTTGTGATGGTTCAGTGAGAGTAAATGAGTTGTATTTCCCACATATCCCACGTGCTGCCACTCTTGTGTGTTTTCTGTTTCTCACATCTCCCATTCATTGTCATAACTTTGCTTACATTTTCTCAGCTACACAGTCTCTTTCCCACGCCAAAACCCTCCACCCATTTTCCACTTGCAGAAACTTTTCTCGGAATTCCAGACCTGGCTTGAACGTCACCTCCTCCAATAATGCATCCTGTGGCCCTTCCCCCATCAAATATATACTTCTTTATTGTTCTCCACATGTACCTCTATTATCCCTTCATTCAGCCTCATGTTACGTTTTGTAATTCACATATTTGATTCTCTTTTCTCCTGGATTATATATCATCTGAGGTTCATCAGTTACCAACTTTATTTAACTTTTCTTCCATTCCTAGCACCTATCAAAATGATTTGTACATGATAAACACTCCCTTGGTGGTAAATTGCTAATTAAAATTGACTTGCTTTAAAATTTCAGTCCTTCTATTAATTTAGATTCCTCTCTGATAAATTTCATAAGACAGTATGTAAGATAATATTAACTATCCAAATTGTAAATATTAATTTTTATTTTAAAATTATATGGTTTTCCCAAAGCAACTGTGGCATAGTATAAACATCCCACTCATAATTTGGTTTCCATTACATTATGTGACAGAAAAATTACTCTCTAATACTTAGAAATTCTTAGCTGGGATTTTAATGCAAATTTATCTTTTCATTATAAAAGTGATATAAAAATATTCTAAAACCTTGGAAAGGAGAGTGAAAACGCAGTACACATTCCCACCTAGCAAACATGAGCTGTTTCCTAAGGCCTTACTACTCAAGGTGTGGTCTGAACCAGGAGCATCAGCGTCAGCTGGAATCTTGTTAGAAATGCAGAGTCTCAGGCCCATCTCAGACCAACTCAATCAGAATATGGTTGCTTTGCACATTAAAGGTTAGAAAGCACTGCTCTAAGGTACTACCTAGAACCCAGCAGAGCATGCTTTACCAAGCATCTCCCTCCTTCTAACAAATATTTATAGAACACCTGCTATATGCCGAGTACTGCACTAGAGGCTGTGTTTTCACCTGAAAAATTTCTTCCAGGACTGACTCAAGAATATATGGAGAGCGTGCTGCCTTCTTTTGAAATGTTTTCTTAGACAAACCAAGTAGTTTGGACTGAAAGCTGTCAGGAGTGCAAAACGTCTCATTGTGAACTCGTTCCACTTCTCTTGTTTTCAAGTTCTCACACAATGACGTCTCCAAGTCTAATGTGTAATGCTTTCTTATTCTGTGCCTTCCTTCCATTAAGAGCTGAAAAATAAGAGAAAAAAAAAAGTCACTGAAATTGACATTCCACAGTAAAGCTTAAAGAACCTTTTTGTTTGCCTTAGGCAGCTTTCATAAAATTTTAGGTTGAGATTTAAAAAAAAATTTTTTTAAGTTCAAGGGAAGCCCAGAAAGGTGACATTTCAAAAGTAAATCTTGGGATATTCCTTCATAGTGTGATTGGGGGGGGGGGGGGGGGTGGCATTTCATTGATTAAAACAGCTCGGTGACATATTTCCAATACGTACAGCACTACACTGTAGTGCTCTTTAAGAATCAGAAGCTATATGATAAATAGTGTAGACGTTCTTTTTATTAACCAAGGCATACTCCTCCAGGAAACAAACAAACACAACTTTTGGTAATATTACACAGCTCAAAAGGCTGAAAAAGCAGGCTTAAATGAATGTTAATAATAGCCCAGAAGAGGAAATTTAATAAGATGTCAAAAGAGGGCACTATGCAACAGCAGTTATGTGTATAGAAAAGTAGCTGCATTGCTGCTGTGTACTTACCTTGGAGATGAGGCGGGGCCATTCGGTGACAGTATCAGCGGACCTGCGTGTCTGTCTGTACACGAGCCGTCAGTCTTCTCTTGGCACACAGGCTGCTCCTTCCTTTTCCTGTAAGCCCTCCTAAGTCACTGAGGCACTGCCTGGCCTGAAGCCCTCCAGGGCCCCACCGTCAAGGTCAGGGTGTTATTCTTGATTTGCCTGTTGTTGGCCAAGGTGTTCCTGTGATTATCCATGTGCAAAGTTCTCTTATCATTAAAGACCCTATAGTTTACACCGTGGAAAGGGACCATTTGAAAGCGCAGGGAACACTGCAGAAAGCAGAGAAATGGGTTTCTATGCCTACAGGCCTCAGGGCTCGAGGATCTCATTCCAAAATGGGATTTCCGAATAGTGCCACCACATGAACTGCTCCCACAAGGCCGCCCAACTTTGATTTCGTCTATGAAAAGGGGGTCATACCACGAACCCCCCCACCCCCGCCTTATAGGGATACTCTGAAGAGCAAATGGGATAAAGAATTTGGAAGAAGGTTCCAAACAACAGACAATAAAAATGCAATGTGTAACTATTTCCTTCTCTGTAAAATGGGAATATTTCCTTCTCTGTAAAATGGGAATAAGTGGTGTGTACGAGAATCTGAATTAGGTAATGGTTGAAACACAAACCGCCCTTGATGTTGTCGTCCAAATATGATATACTGCACCTTTCTCAGCCTCTCAGCCTCTTTACCTCTCATATTTCTGCTGCCTATGTGGTTTATTGAAAATGCAATACTCTCTGTGTAATTGTCATTGTGTGTGTGCTTGTGTGTGTGTGTGTGTGTGTGTGTGTGTGTGTGTGTGTGTAGGGGAAAGAAGGAAGGAATCGTATGGTTGCATTTAACCTCTGAGTGCTGACAGCGTGAAAGGCCAGTGGAAAGACCTGTCCGATCCAAGACCTGACTGGTCCAAGCGTGCAGGCTGCAGCGGCCGCCGTCTACACATTTGAAGGCCAGAGTAACAGAGCGAGGGAGGCCGGGCAGCGGAGGGGTGGGCGCCGCTCAGAGGGCGCGGGCCAATCGGAGCGCTCTCCGCCAGCGGCCAATCACGAGCGGCGTCTCCCGGCAAATCTGCCCGGCAGTGTGGGGCGGGGCCGCCGGGAGTCCGGGCGCCGCAGGTTACATTTCTGAGCGCCTTCTGGGTTACACTTCTGAGCGCCTTCTGGAAGCCATAGGGCAGCGGAACCTGTGCGAAGAGCCGGTGGAGGGAGAGCAGGCAGGCCCAGCTTATGTGCCAGCCCAGTGACAGGCATAAAAGCGTAAATCAGGCTGAGGATGGTGCGTCCGGGCGCTCACGTGTATGTAGACCCACCGGCGTGTCTGTCTGCCGTGTGGGTACCTGTAGTGTGAGTGGCTCTGGGCGTGGCTGCTTGTAGGACGTTGTTTCTGTACAATTTATCTCGAGGGGCCTACCTTTCCCTGGCTCCAGAGGGGGAACGTAAGAAGTTTAACGGAGCCGAGTCTAAGCAGATTAAGGGAATAGCAGCTGGGCCGGAGAGGGTGCGGACTGCAGGTGCTGGGGGCTAGGGAACCACGTCTTTGCCCCGTCTCCCCGGCAGAAAGGCCTTTTGGCAAGACTGGTGTGACAAAGGTGGCCCTGAAGTGCTAGAGACCCCGGGCAATTATGATCGCTGACTGAGTGGCACTGGGCTGAGCCTGAGCAGTTGACTGATAGAAAGGGATGCTAGCAGTTAGGAAGGTAAGGAGGAAACTCAGGATGGGGACCATCTGCTCCCCCAGTCCCAGCGGGACAAAGACATTGGAGGTCTGCAATGCTGACTGGATGGCCTCGCTCCCTCCACTCCTCCACAACGTCCCCCTTTCCAATCTGGCAATCCCAGGTATTCTTCTATTCTTACTTGTTCCCACTGTGTTTGCTTCTGCCATTTTAGTGTTGTTAATGCGTTGGGCTGCTTTTCTGTTGTGCTGAGAAAATAATTGTCAGTGACCTTAACTAAACCTCTTTCTTATTCCTAACTAAAAACTTAACACTGAAGCAGCTGCTGTAAAGAGATTTAAGTACGCTGCATCGTTGGCAAAAGGGACTCGAGAACGGAAGCGCCATTCTTTGTTTGTTTGGGTCTTTTTGTTTTGTTTTGTTTTTACTTGATAGACTGACTCTAAGAACATTACCTTCTTAATGTTGGGGCCGGGGTATGTGAGGGGTGCGTTTCTTGAATCACTCAAAATAAAAAGGAGAGATCAAGGGTAATGAGTAAAAAGTATTAACAATTGTAGATCTGGATCAACATTAACACTGTAAAGTATTTCCTTTCTCATTTATTTGACCTTTCATAGCAGAGAAACAAGAAACAAATTAGCATTTAAGAAGAGGTTCAGAACTAGGACTGAGTATAAAGACACATATTTTTGTTGTTGGAAAAGACAGAAATTGAGAATGCAGGTGCTCATCACAAGCAGGCATTAGGTGTGATGAGGTGGTGGTGTTTGAAGCTTTGTCTATACATATATACAGGTGTCTGCCTGGCTGATCTAGAACCGAAGCCTTGAAAAGCACTTCTGCACCAGCCACTCGCTCTCTCCTGGGGCTTTTGTACTGTGACATCACTCTCATTAGATTTGTTAAGTGTGTCCTCTTCCTTCCATTCAAAAGCTGGTTAAAGCTTGGTTTCTAGGGAAGGAGGTTTGGACTACAGTGAATTTGGTCTCATGTGCTGGGCAAAGTCCTAGATTCTGATGCTTGGCGAGCACTCCCAGAAGCAGGGGAATGGACCACTGCCAGTCCTTTCTCTTACCTGTAGACATAACAATTGACTTCACCACTAGACTACCAGAAGAACTCCCAGCCATCCCTGGGATCAGTCTGCTTTTTGGTGGCAGACAAGACGACCTCACGCAACCCCAGGTCTTTGCTTTCTCTGCATGAGGAAGAGCCATGCTGGCTCCAGATGCAGCCTTTCCTTAGTTACCTCTTCTTTCGGAGGTCTTCCAGGTTCATTGTCCTCATGGGCTCTTGTTGCTTTTGAGCAAGGAGAGGGTTGCTAAATCTCTTTATAGGTATGATCACTTGTGTTTTATCAGCCACTGACTACAGCTCCTTGGGAAATGCCATATGGTCATGCTTCAGAACAGGTCTTTTCCATGTTTAATTGACGCCTGTGGAGTCATCACTGAAATAATGCACAGGCGTCTCTTTTAACATGAGTCATATGTCTTTCTGATGGAATTATTTTGTCAGGTGCTACAGCAAATAGTATGTGTTTGCAAACAGAATGGCATCTTAGGCAGGCGCTAAATGGCTCTATCATTGGGGCACGTCTGGGTAGGCTGGGGCTTCCTCCTTCCTGTTGTACTTTGGACAGTTCAAACCACAACAGCAGCTCTGCCCATGGTGTGGCTGTGCACTCTGACCCCATGACTCCAGAAAGGAGCTGGGCATTTGTTCTGCAATCTATAGGGTATCTCCCGGTTACTAGAATTGCCAGAGTTTGTCGATAGTGAGGCCTGCTGGAAATTCTGTGGTTAGCCACCGTGGGAACACAGGAATTTGTTCACCCTGCTTTGTGAAGTCCAGTCCTTCTAAGCAAAAAAAAAAAAAAAAAAGTCCTTGACTCCTCAAAAGATATGGCACTCATTGCTATGAATGCCTTATTCCCAGCCGCGGAAGGAACATGAGTGTATGTGTGTGTATATATATAAATATATATATATAGCTCAAGACAGGAAAATCACATATTAAGTGCCAGCCATGCCCCCTCCTCCCCCACCCCTGCACCCCTGCCTCACCACTGGCTCTCTCTTCCCTACTTCAAGCCGAATATTCCCCGGCTAAGGACTGGCAGTCGAGTTCTGCCAAGACTTACTGAGAGGTTCTGAAATACAGACAGCATTCAGGAAGTGGAGGCCACCATGTTGCACCCTCTTCCTCTCTTCCTCTTCCCCGTCATCATCACCTTCATCATAATAGCTATTATTTCCTGAGCAGTCCCATGCAGCACCCACTGGCATACATTACCTCAAATCCTTACACCTCCAAGATGGGTAGGAACACCCTCATTTTAGAAATAAGAAAATTATTGTCCAGAGAGGTTAAGTAATTTTCTCAAGATCACACAAGTAGTAAACAGCAGAACTAATATTTAAGGCCCTATGTAGCTGGCTCCAAAACCCACGCACTGTCCCTGTGCCCCTAAGGAGGCCTTGGGAAGTGCAGAGCAGCTCGGGGGAGGGGGGAGAATTCTCTAACTGAAAACCAGTTTTCACAGACTATCCTCTGCAGCAAATGAAAGAATTTTTAAAACTAGGTGGTTTCTGCCTGAGCAATTATAAATCACTATCTAGCTAGATACACACACAGATGTGTGTACATATTATATATCTGTAATATAAATATATAATTTTCATATATATATATATACTGGAACCCAGTAAGTTATTCCTCTTTGGAATTGGAATCCAGTAAGTTTTCAATTCAAATTTAGAGCTTAGACCTATTCTGTATGTTCATGTGTGCTTGCGTGTGCCGCACTGTAATATTGGGTCAGCTCTGTCAGGGTGGGAGTAGGGTAGGAGTGATGCGGAAAAGGGCAGAAAAAAGGCAGGGGTTCTGACATTAATAGCAGAACCGGGATGGAGTAAACTATGTCAGATCTGAGTGCATCTGCTGCATTTGCCTAAGTCATGATGGGAGAGAGCAAGTGTGAACTTGCACCTCTCAACAAAGCCTTGATGTATTATTTCACTTCCACAACTGTTAAGAACACCTGTTAATGACCACTGTCACCCAAACATATTGGCATGTCTTGGAGAAGAACCTCAGAACAATTCTCCCTGCCAACTGTGTAGAATAATTGGAGACCTTCAGGGTAAAAACATCTGGAAACTGCAAAAGTCAGATTTTTAAATTAAAGCTTTGAACTCTACGAACAATTTTGCTGATGTTAGTGAAAGCATGGTTTTCTTTATGGACAAAGGGACTGATAGGAAAAATTTTTTCAATAATGTATACAGCTTTTCAATGAATTCTTCTCTGTATATTTTAGTGCTATTTCTCTCTCTTTTTTAAATCATGTTTTTCCCTTCTTTTTAATAAAGGTAAACTGTTTGGTTTATTGGAAAGAACCCTGAACGTAAGGGTCTCGAAATTTGATATTGTTGATTCTGGCTGTGTGCCACTGTAGCAGTATCCGAATTTCTCAGGACTTGGTTTCCTCATTTGTAATTAAGATGTTGGATTAAATGAAATGTAGAGTCCTTTCCAAATTAAAAATTCTTTGATTAGTTTGAAGGGTTATTTTTTTGTTTTTTGCCTATTCACCTCTAAACATAGAAGAATGACTGGGTCATTTCTGTCTGAAGGTCATTTCTCTTATACCTCTTCAGAACAAGAAATTATTTTTGGCATGTGCAATCAAGGAATCACAATTGCCAGAAGGAAGCGAGGTCTTCTCACTTTAGCATCCTAAAATCGACTGTAGAGTAGTTCAAATCGAACAGACTCTGAGTACGTTTTAAGAAACCTCCATGCTCAGGCCTGTGGGAGACCCAAAGGTGGATCAAGCTATCAAATGAGCTTACATCCTAGTGATAGAGAGGTTTATACACACACACACACACACACACACACACACACACACACACACACATATGTGTATACATATCTTCACCATACACGATTTTAAAAAACTAATTGGGTTGAATATTATAACAGAGATGTAAATAAAGTGTTACAGAAACACAGAATGGAAAGATTAATTTCAGCTTTTAAGAATAGAAATGACTTTGTTGAAAAAATGGCATTTGACGTGGGATTTGAAAAATGGTCAAAAATTTCAAGGAATGTGGCCTGGGGGTCAGGGTTGGGAAGGGGGCTTTCCACTTGAAATAAGCCAATTAAGCTAAGGGATGGAGATATATTGGGGAAATGGCTGGAGGACTCCCTCTGCTGCCACTCAGTAACGCCTTGTTAATATCTTTATCATTGCACTTGTCTCCACACATTGTTATTTCTAGGTATCTGTCTCCTACATTGTCTGTGAACAACTTGTACACAGAGAACATGGCTTATTTCCCTTTACAATCCTAAGTCCTAGTACAGGGTAGCAGCTCTGTCCTTGGTAACTGCTGAGTGGATCTTTTAGTGCATGGAACAGGAAAGTAAGGATGCTGGAAAGGTGGCTTGCAGCCACCATCATTTTCAATTGTGATCAGAGCTAAACTGAATAGATAGGTTAGGTTCTCCTTCTGGGAATGCCGTATGAAACACACGGAATATTTTCCAATCCATTTCTTGTTACCTTTTGCATAATTTCCCCGTAGCTCTAGATAAGACTCATCACTGAGCCCCATTAGAAATGGAAGTTCTCAGGCAGAGTAAGATGGTCAGAAGGGTCAGAAGCAGATCTCTGTGTCACTTCTGCCCTAGGAACAGTTCTATCACCCGCATCCCTTCTGCCTTCCTTCTTCCCTTGTCAAATGTAAGCGTCTCATGTTTCCTGTCTGGCTGCAGCCTCAGCCTGCTCTCATTTCTTGTTCCCCTTCCTTCCACTGACCTGGCCTGTATCCCGACCTCTCCCGTTCCAGTGTCAGCCCTTGCTCAGACCTCCTCACTGCTCTCCAGTTCCCGGAGCGTTCTCTGCGCTCATCTTGCTGATGACATTCCCTTCTCTCCTCTTTCACCTTTCTGGAATCCTATCCTTTTCCTGTGCAGTCCTGCCTTTGACCACTTGGCAATTTCTATAGCTCTTCTCCCGTGGTCCCTCACTCACTCCCCACATGTGCGACAGGGAGACAAAATCATTACGGGGGCAGGACATAGGGAATCATTACTCAAATCCTGCTTCTGGAAGTTGGATCAGGTGCATCTCACAGAGATGGGGAC